TAATGATCTGTGTTTATGACCATTCTTTAGAAAGATGTAGTTCATTGTATTTTATTCTTATGATCAATACAAATATGATCAAAACCCGTTGATATAGGCTGGTGGCAACCCCCATATCCACATGCAGGAGATAGCTCCTGTACTGGATTTATTTAATATTTAATCTAGTTTAAATCCCGGCAAAGCCTTCACAATATTTACACTGAAATAACAACTTTTAACAAGAGTATACCAACTATGAAAATGTCAGGAATATGTTAAAACTTTCGTAGCATTGAGAAGCTGTGATACGCAGTTGAAAAACTGAAATGACGTTTCTTTGACTTTTGTGACGGCAGAATCTGAAGCGCCATCCATGACCATGTGATATAAATCAGCATGAAGCTACAAGAATAAATAAAGAAACATATGTCATTCATACGGCATGAAACTCTTTCCTATCTTGAACGAGAAGAAAAATTGCAGGTTTCAATTTCCATGTTTTGCTTTTCAGATACCGTATATTTAGCGCCCACCCTCTATTTAGCCCCCATTCTCAATTTAGCCCCCACCCTATATTTAGGCCCTACCCTCTATTTAGCCCCACTCCTCAATTAGCCCCACCCTCTATTTAGCCCCAACCTCTATTTAGCCCCACCCTCTATTTAGCCCCATCCTCACTTTAGCACCCACCCTCTATTCAGCCCCCACCTCTATTTAGTCCTTCCTATATTTAGCCCCCACCCTCTAGTTAGCCCCATCCTCTATTTACCCCCATCCTGTATTTAGCCCCAACCCTCTATTTAGTAGCAAACTCATCTTCCCCATCAAATTGTATAGGGTCCGTACGCAAATGGTAATTGGAAATAATTTTGTGTCATTTGCTTTCTATTTCAAAGGAGCCACGAGAAATATGTTCATTTATACCTTTGTATTTTCAGCAACATCGTCTGAGAAAGTTTCATCAAATTCACTTAACTTTAGTTTACAAGAATTCTCGTTACTTGCCATGTAGATAAACCAATCATCCTAAAACATGCGAAAATCAGAACCATGCAGTAAACATATTTAAGGTGCCTATATTTTAACACGAGTAAAATCGTCTGGCGTTAGACAGAGTAAAATAACAAATTAGGGTGCATTAGGGAGCAATGGTACTTAAAAGGGTTAACAAGACATAGGGAAGATAGTTTGATTAACTCATTGAGTGCCAACACTTCTTCCCTTGACGAGTAAAATTGTCTGCTATTAGACAGGGTAAAATAACAAAGTATAGGGCACATTACGGAGCAATGGCACTTAAAGGGTTAATTTAATAAACATTGGGCAATTAGTCTGATTAACCCATTGAGTGCAAACACTTTTCCCTTGACGAGTAAAATCGTCTGGCGTTCGACAGAGCAAAATTTAGAAGTAGGGCGCATTATGAAGCAATGGCACTTAAACTAAAGCCCCGTTTACACTACGCTCAATTTTTGGTACGGCACGGATAAAATTGGTACCCGTACCACTTTTTTGGTTCTTGGACTACCTATTTAGGTAGTCCAAGAACCAAAAAGTGGTACGGTACCAAAAATTGAG